GATGTAGTCATGTCTTCTCTTATGTTTGAACGGTTTGGAGACAGCCGCATCTCTGCTCTATTGAAGTCGAAATCTGTGTTGTTGTTTTTTTCTAAGAAATTTTCCCTGAAAGTAAGCTCGATAAAAATAGGGTTTTAATTTTCTCTGATTGGTCAAATATTTAACATGATTATGTTAATTGATAACCAATAGACACTTTGATGTAAACAGTGTGTGAAATCTTTGTGGCATGTTCATAAATATTGTCTGCTATTGGGTAGAAAATAATGTTTTGGCGTGTTTTAATATGGTATGTCTGTGGGTATGTAATTATGATGGAAATAGGGTTTATTTCCTATAAATGTCTCTAATAATAATAAAAATTAAAATAACATATATTAATTACACAATCACTACATTATCGCACTGGAACTTATAGCTTATGTCACCCAGCAACGCAATAAATAAATAAATAAATAAAAATAAAAAATAAGAAAGAGACAATAATACTATATAAAATAAATTGTTAAAACGACTAAAAATGTTGGAAATCTTAACCCGGAAAACCAATAAACGAACATGAAGAAAATTTAATTCGGTTTTGGGACAAGCACACTCAATATATTTCTCAACTAAAAAAGGAAAAAAGAAAGCTGTGGCCTTATAAAATGATTTGTGAAGACAATACCGAGAAAAAACAAAGACACGCCATTTATCAACGTATGAAGACGCGGCACCTGAACGTCAACAACAAATATATATATATATATATATATATATATATATATATATATATATATATATATATATATATATATGTATATGTATATAATATATATATATCTATTACGGACGCAACATTATCAACCCACAAAGAATCCCTTTTTTATTGCTTATGAAAGCCAAAAGCTTATGAACGACAAAATCTTCTTCAGAAGACATCGGGGAATTCATGTTCAAATTCTTTCAAACACAAGAAAAAAATATTACAAAGAGAAAAATTAAATAAAAAAACATTGGCTGGCCTTCATTTACACCTGTATAAATGAAAAATTGTTGCCAAATATAAATATACTTTACTCCCTTGTTATTTTTTAAAAAACTTTTCTTAGAAAAATAAGGTAAGTAACTGATACTTTTACAGTGAGTAGTTCCCCTTTAATCTTCGTTTTTTTTGTTTTCAAACGAAAGTTAAAATGTTAGCTACGCGCTTTTATGCTTAAAAGAAATAACTACAACTTTTGCAAGTAAACGAATTGTGATGATTTGTCAAACATTAAAGAAGACTGATAACTCGATCTGTATAGAAAAAGTATCCTAATATTTTGATCGTTATTTTTTGGCTCTTCATCAGTCATCACAACGATCTCTTAAACATCTCTCTAAAAATGTATTTGAATTAGTTATGAATCGAAATAAAATACATATATATCACTTCGGGTGACATAACTTACTGTTTCAAGCAAAGACTTCATGAAAAATTAATCAAGCGACAGATTAGTATATTTATTCATCAGGAGTTCCTTTTTGAAGATATTTTAATATTCAAATGTCAACTCAACCCACAACAAAGTAAAAAGCGAGAAAGGTATTTAAATATAAAATATTTTTATTTTCGTCTTATTAAAACTGAATTTTTTTTTTTTTTTTTTTTTGCAGCGTTTGTGAGTGTCAAAGTTCATTGTCTGTAGTTGTTTGTTAAGATGAAAAGAAATGTGACTTCTTCGCGTGTACGTGGGAGAAAAAAAGAGGCAAGGGAGAAAGTGAGGAGGAAAGTGTAAATGTCACATAGCGTGGTGAGGAAGAGTGTAAGTGTCACGTTGCTTGGTGATGAAAACGTGTAAATGAGTAAGGGAATCTTTTGGAAGAGGTCGTCGTGAACTGATGTCACGTGTCTCCGTCTTTATCTCCTTACTGCCTTTTGTCCGTCTAGAGACTTCGCTTAAATACTAAAACGTATCATGAAGCATATTTTTTTATTGTCGGCGGGGATGCGAGCTGTTCGTTGAAAAATGTTAACTATTTATTTTCAAAGGATTTATTTATTAACCAGAAGGATGAGCGGATCCTCCGAACCAGAAACCTTTTTTTTTTCTTTTTTTTTTTACCATTTGATGTTTGACTGCCTTGATGTTTATTTCCGTCTTCGTTCCACAAATGCTAAAACAATTGTATGCACAGGAATCTCTTTTATATGTATTTTCTCAACATTTGCAAAATTAAACTAAAGTAAACTGCAGTTTCTGTTTGTGCAAAAATTTATTTTACATCCTTTCTTGATTTTGATTTTTTAACAGATTTTTAACAGAAAACTTAAGAATAAATAGGTAAACTCCATTATTAACGAAGAATCTTAATTGCAAATCCAGGATATTTGGCGAGGTGGACGCTAATCGAAAACATGGCAGTTGTAATACTTCCGTCTACGAAAGGTTGAAAAATGATAATCGAAACTACTTCAACAATTACAAATCTATGGACTTTTAAGGATTTTGTTGCTTCATTACGAAACAGACTCGATGCATTAAAAAGCGTAGCGACTAAAATTTTGTGCATTTTAACCATTTTAAATTAATCTTGTGTAAATCCGACTGCATTGTACACAATAAAATTAACACATTAAATCATAGACCAGATACATAGACTATTATAATACAGTACTTCTTCGATTATATGCACCTCATTTTCTGGAATTCGATTATCAGGACGTGAAATGAAGAGAAAGCATTTTTCAATTATTTGCATTAAATTAATAAAAATAATTAATCTCAGGCAAGCATTTCGAGAATTTAGAAAACCATAGAATAAAGATTTTCCAGTTAAAAGTTCCACAAAGTTAGAGACAAGGACGAACACACTTGAAGAAGAGAAACAACACAACGACTATTAAATGCACAATAGATAAAAAAAGGCTTGCAAAAATGATTTATATTTTCGGATTTAACTTAAGAGTCTCCAAAGAACAAGTAGGCTTTGTGGCTTCTGTATTCCGTTGGAAGAGGCGGCTCCAATAAACGTGTGGTCACTACAGGTGTCATTTGCAAAAGAGGAAGATTTCAGGATCGAGTTTACCGCGTGATCACAAAAAGGGTCCTGATTGGACAGAAATTAGCCAATAAAAGTCCTGGATTAGTAAGGTTGATCTTTGAATAGTAAAGGGTTAGCTCCCTTTCAAATTCTTATAATAGTCAAATGCCTTTCAAAGTTTTATTATATTCAACGTTCAAAATTTCAATTTCAAGCAACGAAGTAATGATTATGTTTGACAAAAGTTCAAGTTGGTTGCGCTTTCAACTAGAAGCTATCCTTACAAATACTTCAACTTTAATCGAGCTTCGGAAATTAGCGAGAGAAAAAAATGAAAACGGCAACAGCCAGTTTGACGGCTAACAAGAGATTTTATTAACAGTAATATACAAATATATAAAGTGCGCAGTTAAATCCGCCATGTTTTTTTTTTTCTTTTTTCCTTCTCGTTTTCCACTAGAATCTTCTAACTTCGCTACATCGAGAGTTCTATACTATATATTCCATTTTTGTTTAAATTAGAAATTTTCCTCAGATATGCTACAATTCTTCTGTCATACAAGCGCAGATCTAACTCTGTTTTGGTTGAAGTGTCCTTGTCTGGAGTCGATGTAGCTGTGTTGACTAGAGTGTGTGTTGCAGGAGAATGATCATGAGAGACCAGAGAAGGAGTAAGATGTTCAAAGTCTAGTGTTCTGTGGTGGTCAGTACTATAAAACATAACGCCATCAAAACTTTTTACATGAGCTGCATTTCTCATCTTGCGTTGACTTTGAGGTTGTACGATAATAGTGTAGGAATACAAAAAACGATTATCTCTCTTTGGAGGTTACGTGACGATCACTTAGTCGCATCACTTCATAGTGACGAAAGTAGCAGTCAGTCTGCTTGCAGGAGTCAAACCGAGGAGTTGTTTTTCTTTTAGCCCAGGCAAAGGCTAAATCTGCCTTCTCCAGCACGTAGTGCAACTAACAAGACTATGGTACTGTTTTCTTATGGAAATACATCTTCACCACATATAGAAAATATCTCCGGTTCGCAGTCCTCCATTTGGTAAAAACCAGTACTTGCCGTTTCCCGTTCGCGGGATATGTCCTCGCTAGTAACATAGCGGATGAATCTATAAATCTGGAATCCTATCTATTCGTCCTCGTTTCACACTGCGTGTTGTGTTATAGTTTCTCTTCGTGGGACAAATGTATATATAATTTTGTGTATGATTTAGTAGTATAAAAATTCCTGAGAACAAAACATGTTCGTCATTCCTTTTCTTTTCAGCCATTCTGTTCCGTTGGTGAAATAAGATGTTATATCGTGGATATAATAATAATGCACATAATGTTACTGTATGAGGATTAGTGCGGTACTGAAACAAAAAGATAATTATTTCAGTTTGCAGTTATATCCTTCTTCTTTTGCAACTTTGATTGCTTTGAGAATTGTCCTATTGAACGTTTCTACTTCTCTATTGGATTGAAGCCAATACTGTATGACATTAACTTGGAAAATATCATGATGGGTTAGGTATCCTTGAGATTCACCGGATGAACATGGTTGTCTATTGTCACTTCTCAGGTATTGGGAATATCCACGTGTCTTGAATGCTAATTCTAGGGCATTTATCACATATTTTGCATTCGCGCTTTCTATATAAACTACCTCTGATCATCTGGAGTAATATTCAATGATAACGAAGAGATAAGTCTCTTCAATGACAATCAGTAAATCCACTGCAACATGGCTCCATGGTTTTATCTGGTAATGGCATGATCCTCAGTTCTGGTGAGGTATTTTCCTTATAACCTGATATGATATCATTCTTTCAATCTATTTTCAGTCATCTTGTCCATCTCAGGTCACCATATTTGTATATTCAACGTTTTTTTTTTGTTCACACTATGCTTTGATGTTGTTCATATGCAAATTTAATTACCCGTTCTTTAGAACATCTGGAATGATTCTGTTCCCACACATAAAGTTTCTCTTTATTAGAGTTATCCTTCGAGTTTTCTTCCACTTCTCGAGGAGGAAGTAATGCCTGAGATACAGTCCTTGATGATATTATAGATGTCGGGAGAGAGAGAGAGAGAGAGAGAGAGAGAGAGAGAGAGAGAGAGAGAGAGAGAGTTATGATTAACTGGTTGTTAAATCGTCTCAGAACGATATACGACTCTTGCGATGCGGGAATAAGATTTCTGTGCGCGGCTTAAAGTTTATAGTAGCGTTCCTCCTTAGCAGTAGTAACAGTAGTAGTAATATTCGTGGTATCAGAAGCAGCAGTACTTATATCAACAGTACATGTTAGCGGACGCTTCGTTCCAATCTCTGACGTCACGTTCTCTCCTTCTTGAGTCTCCATCTCGTCTCTCCACTGTCTTTAGCCCAACTCTTGCCCGGGCTAATTCTCTTCCGTCTCCCTCTTCCGTCTCCCTCTTCCACCTGCCTCTCCTGTCTCTCTCTTCCGTCTGCCTCTTCTTCAGCATAACTACTCGTTTATATAGAAAAATCCGGCTGGTTACAACTGAACCTTGGCCCTACTACTTCGCACGTGATTATCACGGGGTTTTGGCTGTTTCAACCAAAATCATGTGAATTCTAAAGGTCCTCCTAGCTTACTCAGCTGTATTCTAAGTTTTAATCAATAAAAATTATTTCGACCATTTCCATTGTCTGCTAATGACCCAGTTCCAATGGGTACAGCTCCTGCCCTAGATCAGATTTCCCATCAGTAAACGAAATGCTCTGATCAATTTCATTAGTCTAAATATACTCCAGTTTCACTAAAAAAATATACGTGTGTGTGTGTGTGTGTGTGTGTATGTATTTCCCAGACTCTCTCTGTCACATTTTTCGACTGGGTCAAAATCTATTTGTTTCTCTTTTAGTCATTTCCATCTAGTGTCTTGTCTTGTAAGGTTGCAAAAAAGGGAAGTTGTTGTGGTAAATTGGGATAGCCCAATAAAACTGAACACTTTTGGTGGAAGAGCCCTTGCCAGTGCCTTTACCTTTTCATCAGATATTTTCTGACTATCTTCTGAAAGGATATGTCCTATGCATTTTATGGATGTTATACTCCGTTGAAATTTCTGATTCACTCTGCATGTCGGCTGAATGTGAGCACCAGAAAGGCGGAACACGAAATAAAAAAAGTCGTTTTCTGCGCATGGACTACGAGCAACCCCCCCCCGGTCCACGAAGTAAGTCCCCACAATTAAAGCGATACAGTAACCAACGGCTAATTCACTCCGGACCTATCCTGTGACCTCGGCCAAACCAACTCAAGAAATCGGTCAAGTCCCAGCACTACCAACAACACCCTTACACCGAAAATGACATATTAGCAATTTTTGTTAATTTTCTAACAACTGTAAATATACCATGTATATTAGACGAATGCATTGTTTGAAAGTTTAATCCTTGTTATTTATTTCTTTCGCAACCAAACACTCGTTATAACATGGAACTCGTTTTGATTTGACATTGTTCCTCATTGACAGTCAATCCTCGTTCGGCAAAGCGCTGAATTACTTTGCTCAGTCTCCAGTCATGCTCTTCTGTTCTGCTAACTATTAAGATGTCATCTGTCATGTATGCTCCTGGACAGTCCTTAACGACTTGTCTCATTACTTGCTGAAACTTTTCTGATGCCATGTTCACTCCAAACAAGTGTCCTTTGTATCTGAAGAGTCCTCCTGTTGCAACAAACGTGGTAACTCGTCTGGAATCAGGGTGTAGCTCTATTTGATGGTGGACCATGTTGATGTCGATCTTTGTGAAATACTTTCTCTCTTACAATTTCCTACATTGTTTCGTCAGTTGCTGGCACAGGATGGCCCTCACGGACAATAGATTCATTAGCACGTCTCATGTCAACGCATTTCCTGACATCATGCACTTACACTTTATTAGATGTTTTCCTACTGTTTCTAAGGGATTAACCCACTGATCATGTTCTACTGAACCTAAATTTAATCGAGGCATTCACTCTCTCGATACATCTAGGTCCACTTGTTCTTAGAGTTTGTCAAGACCAAGAGGCCGTCTGTTAAATTGAATTTAACTGTAGTGACTTTTGGGTCTATCTTAAGTTTCATCTAATAGTCTTTGAGTTTACTCAGTCCTGTAAATACTTTCGAAAATTGTCTACGTAATACCGTCCATACATCAGAACAATGTAAGATATTAGAATTAATTGAAACTTTTAAAAAAGTCTTTTGCTGGTTCCACCACTAGGGATAAATGCTTGCGCTTGTAGTATAGCAAAAAGTGAAGCATTGACAGATCGCTTAGTCTTAGGTAGCTGCACATTTAGGTAGCTAAAAGTTTAAGAAGGTCCTTGCTAGCATAGAGGCACAGCTTTGGGGTAGAAACTGTGGTTTGATTTCATGTTTGGCTTTTTTTAATTGTTTTAAATCTTCAACTGAAAGTGTGTTGTGATGAGCTCCTGAGACTATTATTAAAAATACACTTGCGTTATTGAGGTGCAGTTCTATTCCACCTTCCGCTTCAAATAACTTAAATATTTGCCTTTGAGTCAGTGTTTTTCCTTTCCTCTACACTACGTTGGACGCATTCTCAATAACTTTTATAATATCCACGTATTACAGAAATCTCTTTCTGATTCACTCTACGTGTCGATTGGATGTGAACGGTAAGAAAGCAAAACACAAAAAAGTCGTTTTCTGCGCAGGGTCTCTGAAAATCACATCCGGTTCACAAAAAAATCCACGTAATAAAATACAGTAGTTTATCACGAACGTTTACGTCGAAAAAAGATGACCCTAAGGACCACCAGATTTGCTTGAAAGAAAAAAACTTGACTTCACTAATCCGCTTCAGACCTATCCTCTGACATGATCACCTATCTGCAATTCATGAACAACACGCTACTCACAGTGCCGAACTGACAAAGTTTACAAATACTTCATCAATCACTTCAAGCCCTGTCCACTCTTGCCGAACAAGCCGGATCATCGAGCTGATTTTGTTGCTGAATGATGGCATAGACTATTAGAGATTTGAATATTTTTTTAATGGAATAGGGCCCAAGATGACTGAAAAAATATTATACCACGTTTTTTTGCATTAGTATAATTATGATTACACGTTTTGCAAACGCCACCTAGGACAGTATTTAATGTTGCACTAAATGCAGCAATATCTGTCTATATCTCTGAGATTATGATTACATTATTTACATTATTCGAACTGTTATCCTCATCTTCATTGCCATATTCACATATATTGTACGCTCCTGTCTTTTTCAGGTGATTGGAATTTCGTCAACCCGGTGTAGATTCGTTTCACGTGCCTGTTAGATCTCAGTTGTTTCCTTTTCACGACTGCTGTAACCAGATATTGAACTCACAACTCTGGGTCTAGTCACCAGGAAGAGATTCAACTACTACTGGACCATGTGAACTTAATAAGATCATCGATGCAGTTCACAATGGAGTGAGAGAAAACAACAACAAACTGGATGTGCTAATACCTCAAACAGAGTATGGGTTCAAGACCATCGTATACCGCAAGCCTACATTCACTGGACAATACCTCAATTTCAACTCCTACTAGGCATACAGTTTAAAGAAAAGGTTCGTCCGCTGCTTACATCATAGAGCAAAAGACATAAGAACCAGTAATATAGAGTGCTAGAGAAAAGCAGTGAATAACAACCAAAAATTGCAATAATAACAGAAAAATTGCACTGGTAAAAAATGAAGGCTGATAAATTAGGCTTAAAATGCCCGAAAATTCCTACACAGATGTCATCAAGGATACATGGCCCAGTAGATAAGTGGTTAGTTTATAGTGGGTCAGCCAATTTGTATTGGTTATAAATAGCAATAAAAACTGACCCTCTACAATTTTTACAATATCAAATGTAACAAAGACAACAACAAGAGAAATAATCAAGTAGAAAAAAATGTGAATTTGTTCAACAATAAATATTTTTATAAACACAACAAATACATAATATATAGTGCAAAAGTTGATAAACACAATAGAGTTCTTTGGTGTGTGTGTTACTGAAAGAATTTGAGTTACTGTACTGTATGTGTGAAAATGACAAGGTTTAGTTAGCTATATTTGTTTTTGTAGGAAAATTAAACAGATGTTTTTTTGTGTATTAAATAGAAAAAAAGTATTGTTCTTGACTCACTGATTGTTATTACTCATTAACCAGAGATTCTTGTGGAATGGAATATTTTGTGGGAGTGAGCGTTAAGCCTGGAGATGGTTGACAAAGTTTGTTGTTGTATTGAAGATAAAGTTTGTCTCCTTTGCTGTGTTGATTTCCAATGAAGTCAAGTGAATTGGTTTCAATATTTTAAGTGCCCACTGACCAAGTCGCGTCGAAGTTTTGTTTTTATTAGTTCTCTTGGTCACGTGGGGAGGCTCGTAAACATGTTTACATTTTATGGCGTCAACTAGAGGTCAAAATTTGGGTCGGTACCTTCGGACGTAGTTGACGACACCTAATTAATATTTTACAACCAATCAAAATACATCAGTTGTTATATTTGGCTGGGAGCCTCTATGTGTTTAACTTGCACAAAATTTAAGATTTTAAAAAATGTAGGAATCTGATTCTACAAGTTCTACTAACTAGGCTCAAAGAGTTATGAGTTCAATTCAGCAGTGGTGAACCAGAAAAATTCCAACTATAGTATAACATAAACATTCTTTCAGGGAATTACAGTGTAAGTACGGATTAAAATAAAATTTAAAAGTGACACACGAATTCATCATCAAAATTACAAAACCTATTTTTGCTTACGGATACATAAAAAACCCGAATATATATAACTGTCACGGCTCAAATCCCTGCTATTTATATTTCGATCGCTGTTACGGCAAGTTTTCTACCTCTTTGCTCTTATTTGAAATCCTTCAGTAAGATTATACTTTGTCCCATCCAACTAAAGTAAACCGTCAGTTTAGTTTTGAAAATAATATATAAATTAACTTCTTTGTTTTATAACTAGCATTGCTCATGGAAACAGTGAAATCCCCATTAGCCAGTATTTAAACCATAAACTAAAACACCCGCTCTAAAATAAAGGCTAAATTTTAAGATCTATATTCTGTGATCTTTAATCTGTATTAACTATGGATTCGGTGAATAATTTATTTTTGAGCATTTTGTTACGTCCATTATGACGACCAAATCTTTGTATCTTAAATGAAAAACCTATTTTGAAATTTCATCTCCTACAGCATTCAAAAGAATGAGGTATATATTTTTCTTACAAATTATTCGTTCAGTAACCTTTTTAATATTGTTTAATAAGAAAATGTATCTTAAGACATTTCACTTATTAAATGTCTTAAAGATATTTTCTCTCACGACATTTTCTTAAATTACGTTTTACGGATAAGTCTCCATAGGACAACATTGATTCTGTCTGTCATCACCTCGTCAAACTTGTAAACATGGCGACTGTTGGCTAAAAACACAACTACTGTTTGATTAAAAATTCGTTTCTGCGATATTTTAAACTTAAAGTAAATAATATTTGTTTCAAATCAAATTAATTATACTTTAAATCAGCTAATAAAGTTCCAAAAATGTATTTTATTTTTTAAAACCGAGAAATAACTTCAGTATCTGTCTATATTTCTGAGATGAGGTATTATGTACACTATTTACATTATTCGGACTATTGTCCTCATCTTTGTCGCCATATTTATCACAACGTTCCGGCCTTCTCCAGGTGGTTGGAATGTCGAACTAAACCCTTTATTTCGCTCACTGGGGTAGACTGCTCTAGTTCCACGTGCCATGTTTAATGGATGTTAGTTATCATTTATCTCCTATTAATTCCCCTCTCCAAGTTCTCCACTGCCTTAACCAGGTATTGAACTCACACTCTTTGGGTCCTGTCACTGGATCTAACCAACGCTTTTATCCACTGTGCCATGTGTCCTTGAAATATAAATAGCAGGGATTTGAGCCGTGACAGTTATTTATATTCGTTTTTTTTATGTATGGCGACAAAGATGAGGACAATAATCCGAATAATGTAAATAGTGGAGAAATAACTTGTTTACAAATATCTTATGATTACAAATATCTTAAAAATTGACAACTTTGACGATGAAAAAAAATTCGATCCCAATTAATATAATTTCTATTTGGAATACACCAGAGTATTTTGCTTACTGGAAATAGTAAATTTAATCCATAAGTTTTCAATTAAAGCTAAAATGAAATCTTCAAGAAAGCTTTTTCATTTTCTTAAATTAAACCTTAGGTATCGCGATTTTTGTGGTGGTATCTAAATCATCAAATATTATACCTGATAAATTTACGAGTATTGATATGTATTTCTTTGTAAGCAAATTTGCTGTGAGATCGATTTGTTATCATGTTTTTGTACATGCTGAATGAATATTTCAATGTTTAAAAAAATTCATAAAATGTTTTTATTAGATATTCTCATTGTTGAATATATACAATTGTTGTGTTCTTTTTTAGTTTTCTTAATTCTTCATTCGTCTGTCTCTTCGTAAATAACAATGCGAGAGATATTTAATTATGGTAAAAATGAAAAATCTTTGATCTTTCATTTTTTATTTGTGACCTCTGTAATATGCAAGTAAGCACAGATATAAAAGAACTTGATGTTTAGAAATTAAGAACGCTTACATTACACAACTTTAAAGTAAAAAGTACGTATCGAAACAGGAAAAAAGAATTTTAACAAATGCAAAATTAAGGAAAATTTTCTAGACTTTCATATAAAAAATATTTTTTTTTTTTTAGGACATGTTATATATCTGGGGATAGAGAAATAAATAAATAGTTTGTTTGTTTTTTTTTAGTAAAAGTACATCACAAATTTTCACCATCCCTAAAAACAGATAGTTCGACCAGCCAATCAGAATGCTTTCTTAGCCGCTTGCCAATGAGAAGGAAGTGGCCTTTTCATAGCAGATCTATAGATGCATATAAACAGAAGGAAAATTAACCCGTGCTGGGGGATAATTATCATCTCTTAGCTGTGTTTCTGTATTCGAGCAGAGTGTGACTAGAGAGGGGGAATCGGTTGTCATAACGATACGAGAGCAACCGAAGGTTGTGGAGGTTTGGCAAATTTTGTATCTGGCCCAGTGTACGCGCTCGGGTTCCCCCAGATTATACACAGCCTTGTGTCACATCTCGTTTCATTGGGGAAAATAATCACTGTCAATAAATTAATGTTTCCATTCTCCGATGCTGCGGTCATCGTAACATACCCAGGGAAAAATTGCACGGATTAGCTGACGATCGTACTAAGCAGTCGTTGCCACATTGAAAAACAAAAACAAAACATAACTTCCTTCGCCATGAGGTTCAGAGGTGTCTAATATATTAAGATACAAAACATCCATTACCCCCCCCACACATATATATATATATATATATATATATATATATATATATATATATATATATATATCTCCTTACATTCGTCCCCAAATCATAACTTCCATATATAAAAGTAAATGTCGCTTTTTTCTTTGATTATCGTTTGATTTTGTCACAAAGCAAACAGATATATAAAATATAAATATAAAGTAAACTTAACTTGAAAATACTAACTTCTGCCGCGTTAAAGAAATAAAAAAAAAGTACAGCGAACACACAAAAACACAAAATGGACTCTGCTGAGTTTGTGTGTTCGCTGGAATAAGCAACTACTGTTGGTAATACCACTACTATTAAAAGTACGGAAGATGGTGTCTCATCTTCATTGGTATATTGTTTTATGATCAGAAAAAATTGAAAATTACGTAAGAGTTGTAGGCCATCGCCAGGAAAATAAATTTCGTTTGACGTATTTGTTATTTTGTTTGCAACAAATACATTTATACTAGAATATATATTTGTATAATTTATGCATATGTAAATTATCATGCTATTTTTTAAGGATACGCTTTTACTGTGAACATAAACGCAAGCATATAGAAACAAGAGATGTAATTATTTCAATCAAATTTGGCATTTAAAATGCCAATTCCACTTTTATAATGGCAATGCAGGAAATATTCGACATTCATTGAGTGAGCAGTTAACGTTAAATGTCGGTTGAAATGTATAGACTTTTGCTTCAAGCAAGAATTAGACATTTCATATACACTGTTATTGATCTTTCTCGTATTGACAGGAGTTTCCTTTCAAACCTTTCATTTAAGGTAATGTGGAAAGTCAACATTTTGACTATATCATTTTTCCCTCTAGTTACAGATGATGTCCATTTTTTGTTGTTTCTATCGGAAATCTTCAGGTGATGAGGTATTTGCTATTTATATATATATATATATATATTTAAAAAATTCTTTGTTTCTGATTTTGTAGCGCCAGTCTATAGGGTTCTAAAGAAAGTTTCTTCATTAACCTAAGAAAATGCTTGTATAGAGATGATAATTTAGGCATTCATGAAAGAGCTATACACGCCATGCATGACATAAATTCCTGCATAGTCACTTCACAATCTTCCGTGTTGCAAGAGAAACGTAACTAACTAGAATAAAAGAAAATGACACATTGAGAAAAAACGTAAGAACAGAAAATTTGTTTTTGGGTGAATAGGCAGTGAATTTTAATATCATGTCAACAAAATCCGTATGGTACTTATCTGTGCCTCAAAGTCAATAGGTCGATATGTTCATATAAAAAGACTTGATTTGATTGACAAGTTTATAGCAACAGAATATCCGAATTCATGGATAATTTCAATGTTCATTACCGGTTAAGCAAAATGTTTACAGTCCTCGAAGTTGATGTTCAAGGTATATCCACCCGTAATTCATATATAAGTAGCAAAACTGGTTAAATCCACAGTTTCCGTTGGTTACTGCCTTTTCTATTCCTCTGGAGAGATAAATCCCAGGAGTTGACTATCCAATTCATTCGGTCGCTTTCTTTCAACTATTAAGTCTTTAATTTTGGCGCCCCCGCATCTATTCGGGATCATGTGATCTGTCACGGGACTGACATGCATGAAATCAGAGAACATTCGTCCATTCACCGCTGCCGCCGTGGTACAGGGAAGTACATCTATTTACTGTCACCATTTGCCCGCATGTATACACGAAGTTAATTGTTAGAATGAAGTGGAAAGAAAGAAAGAAAGAAAGAAAGAAAGAAAGAAAGAAAGAAAAAAGAAAGAAAGAAAGGAAGGGAGTAAAACTATGAGATTAATCTTTCTTCTTCCTTAATACGTAAATCGTAGTATTACGTCACACACTGAAGTTACATACGACCTCTTGGATTTGGCAAATCAACAAAACAAGTTCAGTTGACCATTGATGACAATTCCAAAACAACGTAACTATAAACAATTTTTTTCTATCCTCTGCCAGCCGCAATGATGGAGAAAGCATTACCTCGAACCAGTGCCAGTGAGACACGCTGCAAGAGCCACTCCGTTTCGCGAGACTCGTCCCTTAATCGAGACGCAATCGCCCCAATCCTCCGAAGGAACGCCATCGAACGAGGGCCAATAACCCCTGAAGTCTCCAATACCACAGTCTTTTAGATGACACCTTATTTGTTCGATTTTCGAATTACGGAGAATTATGAGTGTAGACTCTACACTATAGAGGTTGCTTATTTAACAACTTCGAATCATTTTCAATTCGCTAAGTCTCCAGAAAGGTATGCCCCCAAAGGTTATTAAACAATTCCACTGACCAAATCTTTTTCTTGATAAGAAACCCATTGAACATATCCGGAACATTTCGGATTAGAAAACTAAAAAAAAATATTCGTATCGTCTTTTGTAAAAATTTGTTTCGTGTTTTTAATAATTGAGAACACATTTAGTGTAGTATCTCGCTTGCAGTTACCTGTACGTGATTTCACCATAACGTTTAACGGTGAACGTATGGTGCATCAGGTAACTGAGAACAAATGACAAAGAAAAATAGATACAATAAAATCTTGTACAGATTTTCATCTTAGAAACACAGAAAATCTTATTCAATGAAACTGCCTTCAACTTCGAGAACGACATTGTAATCCTGGAACATGTGGCTCTTGTTCATGTTGGCTATCATCCACGATAGAAAGAATGCATTCAACGAGTTCTTGCCGTTGGTCTCCCTCTCGACGACCGTCTCCGATACAGTCCCGTGATAGTAGACCACATAGTGAGGTTGACATAAAGATTAAAATCCTCACTCAACTACTAGATTAGAGACATGTGGGAGAAGAAGATGGTTATTTTCAAGCCAATATGGTTGACGGCTTGTGTGCAGCTGTGTCAGATTGGAAGTTGCCATGTTATCTATACGTCTGAAATAGAAACGAGAATGTTAAAATACGGCACATGCCGCATAACCTTAGGTGTGGTCGTCTCTTTCATTTATGGTCCGCTAAGTGCGTGTATTTAAATACTTGGCGTCTCCTGTATAAACTGACAGAAAATAAATGAAAGGAAGATGATTTGACCTGAATACAGTATGCGCATACTGGGTAGTTAGATATTCCATAGTAGTATGTTCTAATAAAATGTTGCGATAAAGTAACACATTAACAGTGCACCGTCTGTCTAAGATTTACACAATGACACATGCTTCACATAAGATTCAGTGTGATGAAAGAGTGCAGTGCAAGCAGGTATCATGCCATTGAGATGCACACGTGCTCCTTTTGAATGGGATTAGACGATAGCCATTTTGAAGAATTGCTGTGTATGCTGGACTTGACGCGTAAGTTAGCAACAGTGATCAAATAAACATTCCTACACTCGTCGATCAGGTTCTGGATAGCCATAAAATACAGATGCTCGCCAAGATCGACGCATTGTAAAAGCAACAGTGGCAGAGTATCCAGTGTTTACAGTACAAATCAGAGCAAATGGGGCACTAGATGTGTCTTCACGGACCATTGTGAACAGTTTACCTGTTGCAGCACTACGGTCACGCTACACTATTGAACATTTACGGGATATGTAATCCTATTTCCAACCATTAATGTATTGCATTAACAGATGCAAATATACGGAATACAGTATTTCAGAATGGTATTTGCTATCTGTTCGATTATATTGCATTCGAGAGTACAAGTCCGTGTTAATGCCCAAACATGACATAACAGGGTATAAGATCCGAACGCTGTTAATACACTCCTCATTATGATTATTATGCATTTAATCTTTAGTAAATTAAAGTTGTTTTAGGACTAATAATTAGGGCTACATATAGTCACAATCTCTAGATTGCTATATTATGCTAGATAGGCAGTTGGAGAAGTGTGTATGTAAATAGGTTTGCGTTATTTATGGTCATCAAGATTACTTGTTTATTTATTATTTATTTCATGTATTTTTTCTTTGGTTCAATATTTTGGTAATTCCCTCACTTCTCTTAATCTTCTAGTGACCTACAAATACAAACCTTTAAAGACATTATGACACTTGGCCTAAAGATCACATTGAGGCTTGAAACTGACAGTGTTTATTCTTATTTCCCACACTGCCCATTTCTATGTCTCTAAAACTCTCTCCATTATGCTTTGGGTGGATAATACTCAAATATGTTCAAGAACGTGGGAATCAGAATTATTTTTCAAATGTAAATGCAATTTTTGGGAGTATAACTCATGATATATAAAGTTAAACAAAAAAGACTACAGCAGAAAACATCATGAACTTTCTCCTTTTGCTTCTCTTTTTTGTTCATGTGCTATTCTTACACTTTCTTTCTCTACTTCGTTCACTCTATCTCATTCTATCTCTCTGGATTGCTAAACGCTTTTTTCTCATCCATTTCAAGTTACTTGAAAAACAAATAAATCTAAATAGATATTTCTGATCAAAACAGGATGATGGATTGTAATTATAATATTCAAAATAATTGATTTCTATGATTATTAGCATCAGAATTTCCTTGTGAATTACCCCGCGCTACAAATAAAGGTATGACTCTGTGCATTAACACCAGAATCTATCAATCGTAACTGACGACTTTCTGAAATTTTATGTTCGATATATGTTCAATATTTGCTCTAATGCTATTTTGGAAATAAGATGCTGAGGAATAATGGTAAAAGTTGTGCCTGTCACTTGAGACCGAAAGAGTTCTGGCTATAACGCATGTGGCAAATGAATCCAGCAAGACGACTCAAAAGGAATATCTTAGCAGATATGACAGGGTAAGGACGGTGATAGACTAAGAATTGTGCCAATGATTTGGGTTTTTTCAAAATACACAAATGGTAATAGCACAAACCAGAAGCTTCTCTAGAAAATAAAAACGAGTAAATACTCTGGGATTCTGAGATCCAGATCGACGAACTAGTCCCAGAAGATCAAACGTGGTTATTGTGGGTAAGGAAAGTACGTCTGCCATTTTTTTTAAGATGACTGTACAAGGGAAAATGGCACAAATAGGGAACATAGCATAAATATCCTGTTCCTTTACTGAACCCCAAAAGATAAAATTTTCAGCGCCTCACCTTGAAATTGAGAAGGCTGTGAAGCTTGAAGATTAGTTGGCGTCAGAAGATTAGAAACCTAGAGTCAAAGAAAGACTGAGAGTGTCTAGGCCGCAGAATTGCTGAAATCTCTGAGGATACCGAGGAAGATGATGAACATTTAAAGAGATATGCTATCCTCTCATAGTCATCATAATCATGAAGACATGAGGCATGAACATGAAAATGAAATGGAATAATTCTAGCAAGGTCGTAAAGTAATGCAGAAATAATTTACAAAAAAGTGTCGGGCATTTGAAGATGTTTGTAGACGTCCAATCCACTTGTTAACTTTGCAAATATTACAGAGTACAAAGATATTTTAAGTCATTTATTATACATTATTAGACGACTTAGTGTTGAACCAGAAAATCAGCTTTAACCTCCTTAAAAAATAAAGTATTTAAGATATTCAAATGTAGAACAGTATGGCTTATAACAGGAAGTATTTAAGTAATTAAAAAGTAAGAGGAAAAGGATAAAACATAGATTAATTGGCGGCGTTCGTTGGTAAATTATTTACAAGTGATAAAGAGAAAAATTGAAAGATTTATTAGTTTCTCAAAAGACAACGAAAATCTTCACCTGGAGAAGACATGCGCACTTCTAATCGGTTTCATTTCTTCCAGAAAGGCTTTGACCAATCAGAATCAAGCAAGCTGACTTGACAGGAAAAGTTAAAATGAAACATTATGAGCGTAAAAACCGCAAAATTAAAATGTAGAAGATAAGAAAGAAAGAAAGAAAGAAAGAAAGAAAGAAAGAAAGAAAGAAAGAAAGAGAGAAAAGAACGAGCTTATTAAATGTACAGCTAAATATTTGTGAAAAGCAGAGAATATATATATTATATATATATATATATATATATATATATATATATATATATATATATATATATATATATATATTGAGAGAGAGTCGGGGAGGGAGAGTGCTGAGAAAATGAGAAGAATGAAAAAGAGGATGTGGCGATAAAGCAGTGAAAATGATTGAATGTCCCGACGGTGTCCCTTGTCTGTCTGCATTTGGGCACTTTCCGCCATCGCCAACATATGACGTATCCGGCTTTGACAAAATGAATGATCTGAAGGAAGCGAATTGAAAGAAAACAAAAGGAAAAAGAAAGAAGAACTGACATGCACATGAATGGAGTAGGGAAGGAAATGCATGAGTCGAAATAGACAGAGAGAGAAACAATGAGGAAATAATAGGACAAATAGGAAAAGAAACAGTGAGCGAATGAACGAAACAAAAGGAATGTATAGTGTAGAGAGTGGGGATAGATAGAAGAGGAGATAGAAAGGGAAGGTGAGAAAGGGAGGAAAGAGAAGACAAAAGGAAGAAGAAAGAAAAAGATATAATGAAATGGAGAAAATGGTTTGGAGAAAGAGGAGAGAGAATGAAAAGAAAATAAGATTAAGAGAAGATAGAAAGAAGATAAGGGAGAGAGAGAAAAGTAGAAAGAAGAAAGGAAAAAGTAGAAAGAGAGAACGAAACAAGGGAAAGGAATACTGTAGAGTATGGAGATAAGAAAGAAAAAGACACAATGAAATGGACAAAAGGAAGAGGAGAGATAATGAGAAAAATGAGATAAAGAGAAGATAGAAAGAAGATAAGAGAGCGAGAGAGAAAGAAGAGAGAAAGGAAAGAGCGATTGAGAGAGAGAGCGAGAAAAGATCAGAGAGAAAGAGAGAGGGGGGATGATCTGAGAGAAAAGAAAGAAAGTATGAGATCAAAGAAAGAAAATGATTTTGAATGCATAACTCATTTATAAGTGACATATTGCTTACACTTAACGCTATAAATATTTTGTTTTCTGATATTTTTCAACTTCTATTTCATTCCCATAATCTGTTAGATTGCCGAAGTACCCCTTCGTGGCATTTCTTGGGGCAGGCCTTCACAATAATAATAATAATAATAATAATAAACTGTGAAGAGCAACATTGATCGCAGAATGTCAGCCCCACCCTCAAGAGTAAATTAAAGACCAAATTACTGAGTATTAGTTAGAGGGGAAAAGATGGTGCCCGGAAAATTCGGTAATTTTGACAAGGCAGGGAAATTCGGTAACTATGAAATAAAAGTCGATTGAAAATTGATTCAAGTGGAGTGGAGATTTGAAGGCTAAGACCCTTCCCTTATATTTTTTAAATAACTTAAAATCGTGGAGTTCACATAAAACCCCACTATCACATTACTATGGCCGTATTTGCAGAAGGGGTGCTTAGGAAGCTAGGACTCCATCCGCAATGTTTTTTTTTTTAAAAGTATTATTAACTATTTGAGTTTAGATAAAATCCCACTACAACAATACCAGGGCCGGACTTTCTTGAGGGACTTGCCTCCACCAAGCATACGTTTGATGTATTAACTGAAAAAATCATGGGTTCCAGTTCAGATAAAACCCCACTGCAATAATATCAGGGCCTTACTTCCTGGATGGAGGGGTTAAGCCCACCCTCGAATATTTTTAATTAAATATTTTTAAATAAGTATTTATTTAATTATTATACTCTATTATTTTCAAGCAAATAAAATCGATTTATACAAGTTAAAATTCAGTTCTTGTATTTTCTTTGTAAATTATTATTTTAATAAAAAAGTAGTATATAATTTAAGTTTTAAATAGTTATTTATTTTAAAGAAGCAAAAGCTATATAGCTTCATTTCATTGTAATTTTTCTTGAAAAACTTCATTCATTCAAAATTTACAACAAATAACAATTAACACAACTATATTACATTTTGTTTAAAGAAAGTAAAATTAAACGAGAAGTAGCCCTTTATATATATATATATATATATATATATATATATATATATATATATATATATATATATATATATATATATATATATATATATATATATATATATTGCAAGGAATAAATACGAATTATTTCTTAATGGCATTATGAAAAATGAAAAAATAAAAATAAGAGATGATGACACTTTCAAAGCAGACCAACCGGTTTCGTTCCCAAGCTCATCAGGGTCGACTGGGAACAATTTCAAAATTATTGCAATATAAATTGACTCACTCACAAATCCTACATACAATTAAAACTTTAAAAAAATGAAAAGATTAATGGTATGAGGGGGAAAATATATATGTATATATATTTTTTTAGACCGTGCGAATATGCACAGTGAAAAGGGGAAAAAAAATTATAACAGGGAGTGTGAGGGGAAATTATGATAGAAATTAGAGTGTAATAACGTGAAGCCCAAGGAGACAGTCTCTTTGCTTGCACAGAGACGGCTCCCTGGACCGAATATACAAAGACTCAAGTGCCCTCAAATGAAATGAAGAGTGCGAACTGGACAGTACGGTAAACCAATTCGGACTAAAATTCTTCGCACAATCCCTGCAATTTATTAAATGCTCAGTGATCGCTGACCCGGAAGTATTAACCAAATGGCTCTTGCGAGCATCCGGATTAAGAACTTGCAAAAAATGAGTCCCAACGCTGGTCTGTATACGCGTTGGGACTCATTTTGTCCCAGAAAGCGCAAAATCAATCTAATCAAGACCTTAACTCATAGGGCCTTGATGATCTGCAGCGAAATATATTTGGATGAAGAATTGGATTTTATCCGTCGCAATTTATTAAAAAATGGATATCCTAGTGATATTCTTAATGCTGTCATGCGTGATAAAATTATTAACTTTCGAGAGGAAAAACAATACTTAGTTCAGAAATGTCCTATTTATTTGCAGCTTCCATTTATTAGTTCTCGGGGCGAGCTTTTGGCTAGGCGGGTCTTGTTTGCCGTCCATAATTGCTTTTTCTCTGCTCAACTAAGAATTCATTTTGCGACTCGTTCTGCCTTTCCCTCTATGTGTAAGGATCCTCTTCCTCCCCATCATGTTTCTTTTAATTGCGGTTGCCGTAGCAACTACATAGGAAGGACTTCCCAGCGCTTAGATTGCAGGATCAGGCAGCATGTCCCATTGCGAGTTCTTAATCCGGATGCTCGCAAGAGCCATTTGGTTAATACTTCCGGGTCAGCGATCACCGAGCATTTAATAAATTGCAGGGATTGTGCGAAGAATTTTAGTCCGAATTGGTTTACCGTACTGTCCAGTTCGCACTCTTCATTTCATTTGAGGGCACTTGAGTCTTTGTATATTCGGTCCAGGGAGCCATCTTTGTGTAAGCAAAGAGACTGTCTCCTTGGGCTTCACGTTATTACACTCTAGTGTCTATCATAATTTCCCCCTCACACACCCTGTTATAATTTTCCCCCCCTTTTCACTGTGCATATTCGCACGGTCTAAAAAATATATATACATATATATATATATATATATTTTCCATTCATACCATTAATCTTTTTATTTTTTAAAGTTTTAATTGTATGTAGGATTTGTGAGTGAGTCAATTTATATTGCAATAATTTTGAAATTGTTCCCAGTCGACCCTGATGAGCTTGGGAACGAAACCGGTTGGTCTGCTTTGAAATTGTCATCATCTCTTATTTTTTATTTTTTCATTTTTTATAATGCCATTAAGAAATAATTCGTATTTATTCCTTGCAATATTATATATTTTGTACCTCCAACAATTTATATATATATATATATATATATATATATATATATATATATATATATATAATTTGGAGTTGGGTCTGTCCTACGTTTTACAGTTATGTAAAAGAAATTCCTGAAGATAAAAAAAAAAATGTTTCAGTAAAAGAATTATACAGTGAAAAAAAAAACAATTCAATAAAACTGAAAATAAAATTTTTTTTTAAGAATCGGTGCTTGCATAAATTTAATAAAACACGTAATTTTTCAGTGCGATTTTCACATTCATCCCGTTGCTGTTCGTCACAAGATTTTATTTTATTACATAAAGTAAAGACATGTTTGAAGATTCAAAACGGCGAGAGTAACTATGACTCTCTTAAGTTTAATGTCATTGTGAAATGTGAACACTTTTTTAAAGAATTTTATTTTATTTTTTTTCTTTTAACAACTCTTATTTTTGGTATGGATGTACAAAAAGGAAATAATTCTGATATCTCGCTTTGACTGACTACTATTCAATATCGGAAGAGTATTATGTTATTTAATCTAATTTTATATCTCTAGCCGTTCTGTCAGTTTTTGTGTTTTGAAAGCACTGTTTTCCGGTCCGTTTTTCCGCTTCAGTTTTGAAATGATTTTATTCAATCTCTATTTCACTTTTTTTGTTTTTTTATCTAATCAATCCTTTTAGGTTTCCGTAGTGAAAGAAAAGGAAAGATTTTGCTCCTTATCCTTATCTCAATATCTTTTTCAAATTTAGGAAAATTCGGTAATGGAAAATATCTAAAAATAACGATATCCAAAAGGGCTGTGAAACACATCCCCCCACCCCCAATATTTCCTTAGAGTAGTTTAATAAAATAAAAATATTCATTTATTAATGAATAAATCCTGAAAATTTCGTTTGAACGGATAATTCTCTGATTTTTGGCAAATATTTGAAAACGGTGTGTCGAATTTTACTTTTATTTCAGAATACGCATCCATTTTGGTGGTAAGCAGCATAAGCGGAGCCCCTATCCCAGAGGTCTGGTTCATGCCTTTTTAATGGTGCAAGATTTCTTTCGGATATCTGAGCAAGTTTTAAAGAAAGCATTTTGCGATTATTGCCTAATAGGAGAGATATTTTTTTCTCGTGACACGGTGGGTGGGTCAGACTTCATCGTGTAAACAAGTGGTCCTCGATTTGACAAAAGCCAGGAACAAAATATAAATTAAGCAAAACATTTCCCTGATGTATCATTAATCTTCAGTTGACACTTCCGGGTTGTTGTAAGGAGATGATTTTCTTTAGCAGTTGACAAAATCTTTCAAGACGTGAAGAAAAAGAGAAAATTTGATGTGGAGAGATGGACGAAATATTTTTTAAGGGGAATATAAAGTAGGAATAAGGGGAGCCTAAATCAGAATGAAAGAAGAAGAAAGAAGAAAATGCAGAAAGGAAACGAGAGAAAGAAGAGAAAGAGAAAAAGAGCGGGAGATTAGAAATAAGTAAACGAAAAAGTAAACGAAAGAAAGAACGAAGAAAGCATAGAAAATAACGATAAGAAAAACAGTGAAGAAGAATGGAAACTTATTTTAAAACGTCTAAAAATAGAGAGAGAAGAAACTTAATTGAAAAAGAAAGAGAGAAAAGTAGGAAGGAGGGAAAAAGAAAGAGAAAAATATGAAAGAGGAGAAAAGAAAGAGTGAAAAGTAGGAAGAAAGAGATTTGAAAGTGATGAAAGTAGGAAGGAGGGAAAAGGAAAGAGTGAAAAGTAGGAAGGAGGAAAAAGAAAGAGAGAAAAGAAGCCCTGAGGGAAAAAGAAAGAGTGAAAAGTAGGAAGGAGAAAGATATAATCTGGAAAATATGGAAAGAGGAAATTCAGTAAAATAACGAAATAAGAATTTAACCCCCAAATGGATGTAGCCTGCAAGAAATACACGTAAAGAAAAGAGAGAAAATAGAGAAATAGCAAAACCTAACCTGAGAGTTGAGAAAGTTAAGACATAAGAGAATGAAGGTAATTGTCATTGGAACATTGGTATCAATTCAAAAGATCATTTCTAACAGATTGGGAAATCTAGAAACCAACAAAAATTTATAAAGATACAGAGGCTAATTAACAGATGCTAAAATTGAATCTGATGGAGAATCGGAGAATATGAATTGCGATGTCCAATAAAGACCTACAACAACAACAACAACAGCAGCAACAACAACAATAATAATAATAATAAACAAATTATCACCTGTCGTCA